TACAATTACCATTGACCTTTCACCTTAAACGACCTTGGAAAACAACAAAACGGCTCCGTACAAAACAAACGTACAAATTTAAATTCTATAGCCATATTTACATGGACCTCGACTACATTCATGAACTCAATTTTCTCCGTTCCCAGTAAAGCACGGGTCTATTCCACCCCGAAAATGAATCGCCGAATTCCCACACCCTTTCACCCTTTGAGAAAATTATAAAACAGTTTGGTCCTTTGAACCCCCAGTCCCGTAGTCCCGTGTTTGGGAGCCCCAGAGGCGTCGCCTCGATTGTACGCTAATCGCCGGCTTGTTTACTAAAGTGCGTTTGGACCGACATTGTGTGTGGTCCTTGTGTCAGCGATCTGGGATAAGGGATCTAAAACTGTTACTTTGTAAAACAAACAAACATACTTATAGCCTGTTTCCCATTGGAGTAGGCAAAGTCAAGGGAACGCTAAATGATGAATTCTGACATAACGTATTTCGCTCCGTTTAAAGTCATCAATCTCTTGCGTGCTTGTCGATTGATAAATCATGTCTTTTATTTAGGTCCTTTCATACGGGTATTTGTTTAAATTTACAATAATGATATCGTAGACGTCTTCTGCCATAAAATATCATGTGGAGTTAGAAGATCTTTATAAAACTTAAGAAAAACAACACTCAATACTGAGTTAGCAACTACAAACATTCTACTACACCCCATCTATCTTCCGTTTCTTTAGTATTTTCGGAATGGTAGAAACACTCGAATCGATAGCATTTACAGAAGATTTAAGTTAGCGCCCCTGTTCAATTAAGTCGGCGTACAATTAAGTAAGCTATTCCTTTCTTTGTAATTAAGTAAACAGTAAATATTACTCTATTACCTTCGCAGGTAGGTACATTTTCTAATGGCTCCTTACTATATTTTTCCTTTATTTCTTTACCTTTCCGATTAATTAAGTGGAATTAAGAAATGTATTTGTGCTTATAGACTGATGGTAGGGTTATTTTTGGAGGTCTTTTGGAAATGGTTGTAGTAATTATTGTTTGGAAAAAGATTTTTTAATTACTTTTTGATTATAATGAGGAACGAAATGTTAGTCGTATAGTTTTGTCCTTGTTGTCCGGCAAAGCACCTTGACTCCTCTGGTGTTGCGAGTGTCCATAGGCGGAGCTGATCGCTTACCATCAGGTGATCTGTCTTCTCGTTTGCCTCCTATTCCAGCAACTATGAGTGAGACTTATGAGTCACACGCAGTAGAGGATGACCTTCTTGTTTACACCGAACATTTCAAACTCCTTGCATTTAGTGAGAATTTGCGAAAACCTCGAAAAATATTTGTTTATGTAACGCAACGCAAATTTGCAAATTACACCGCTAACAGTTGGACCACACCCGAAATTGTAGCTGACTCACGTATGACGAGGCAAATGTACTCCGCAGCGTACAGTCAGCGAATTCACAGTTTTTGTATACCGACTGTACTTGCTTAATGTCGGCTACACACCTGAATGGGGTCCTTTATTCGGGACCTTAATGTACTCGCTTTAAAAGGACTGTTTTATGCATTTTTTGGATGTTTGCAGTTTCCTCTAAAGAGTATGTGGAGTAGGTGAATGTGATGGCATTATATTAAGTCTTACATAACATAACATCACGCCTTATATCCCCGAAGGGGTAGGCAGAGACATTATGCCACTGTACAATGTAACACCCACTTTTCACTATTTATGTTATGAAACCCATGTAGTAGGGGGTGAGCCTATTGGCAGATTATTGCCGTTTACAAAGCATTTTTAAAAACCCAGTAATATTTTGTCTGACCGATTTGCCCGGCAGTCGCACTTGCGACCACTCTGCCAGCAAGGCAGTCAAAATTAAGTCTTACGTTTGGTAGATATAGGTTTGTTCGGCTCAGAAAATCAACTAAAGACTGCTTGCTTGATGCCGCCGCACTACAGATTATATGACCAACGAGATAATCATCTTCAATAAGGTTTTAAAAGAATAACAAATGGAGTTTCTTTCTCGTTCTTCTTCACTCGAATCTACATTTTGGAACGAGCGCTTAGCTTCACTGACGAACAGAATGACAGACTAATTTATTTTATTTTTGTTGACGTTTCAAAAGTACCAAATTATGGTTTAATTGAAATAAATGCTTTTGAGTTTTGAGGATACTTTGCCCGACTTAGGAATCAAACTTGATTTTCTTTGCTGTGTAGCTGCAAAAAGGACCACCATGTATTAGATACTATTATTTTATCGGTTACCTACGTAACTGACAAAACAAATAAAAAAAAATAATCAGCCGAACATAGTACCTCCTCCTTTTTTGAAGTCGGTAAAAATTGAATGAAACCCTCCTCTAAGTCCTCTACCTAACCTTTCTAGCATTATATTCCTATCTACTAAGTAACACTTACCTCTCTTTAGCAGAATATTTGTCTAAAAGATTGTAAATGTAATGCCAGTATTACAATAATCGTAACAGCTACACTCTAATGGCGGAATTTAATATTAATTTCAAATGTCTTTGAACTCACTGGAAATGCAAATAGGGGAGAAACTGCTTTCAAAGTGGAAATACAGGGAGGGAGGTAATAGTAGGTACTTTATAGTTGTAGATATAAAATTTTGAATAAAATAATAAACATAAGTAGTAAAAATATTTGAAATCATAGACGTCTCTACTGTAAGATCGAATTCTAAGCTTCGTGTTATTACTATAGTTATTAATTGCAATAATTGGCATCTGTGATTTGATTAATGAGACATACTACAGTTAATATTCAGAGAACATTTATTACAACAATCATTTACAGTATTTAAGTAAGAAAGTAGGTACATAATGTTAAAATTTAATCTAAAAGGACCACGTTTGTTTACAAAGACCAGCAAACAAGCTAAAAAATGACAGATTGCAACAGAAATATTGGAAGAAAATAATAAATTTTAATTAAAACACCAGAGATGAAAATACCAAACTATAATCGCAAAGGCATCATCTACCAAAGTAATAAATTACAATAAAGATTCACATAAAGCATTAATCTGCAATAAAGATGTACGGTTTACGTACAGGCATTTATTTTGCTAACGTCGCGCGACCTACTTTCGCGAGTCGATTTAATTAATATTGTAATATTTAGCGTTCAGTTGATTATAACTATAGCCACGATTAGCATCCCACATAACTAGTGTAACTTACACAATAAACTATTGAACGGGAAAACTGTGGTCTCTTTCAACTCAAAACAAACTAACGACGCCTGAGGTCCATACAAAAGACTTCTTTGGATTCCATTCTTTTAGTAAATCTCATTTTAATAACGCGTGGCGCTGCCCAGACCATTCTATGAATACCTTATTACAAATGCAAGTTAAATATAAAAAGATTACAATCTTAGGTCACCCTTGGGCAGAGGCGGATTTTAAACCCAGAGAGCGCCCCAGGCAAACCTATACGCGCCCCTGATTGTTTCAGCGCCGCGCCGCCGCCACTCTATAGGCAGTTGGGTACGCGTGTCTCCTGGCGCCCCTCTGTATCCTGTTGCCCTAGACACAAGCCTAGCTTGTCTCAAGAATAATACGGCTCTGCCCTTGGGACTTGACCGTCTGTCTATAACAAACTTTTTATTAAACTTAAATAGAATAAATAGGATTCAAGTTTCATCTCTGATTTTGAAACTAAAAGTATTTTTTATTGTTTATTACATTGCAATGGTCTAGACTGGAGATTACGAATTTAGCTAATGTTGTAAACGTGAATATTTTTTACTATTTTGCTGCAGATTCTGTTAGCCAATCACGTAAAAGCAATTTAACTGGTCTAGCTCAAGTGATATGTGTGGGTGAGCCAAATAGTTTTTTGATTTCAAAATTCTTGGTGGCAATATGAATTCTAAAATAGATCTTGGTGTTTGGTGAAAGGTTTAAAATAAGTCTGATCGACGATATCTAAAATACTTGCTATAACATATGGCTAAATTTTACCTATAGGATTACCCATAGGAAATTTTCTGGTTTACCTATAGGAGGCCCATAGGCCAGCAATGGCGTATTAGATACTATTGTGATGATGATTATGACGTTGAAAAGTAGAAGTTATTCCTTCTTTTTATTGTTCGAAGTTACATCTCTAAAGGTAGATTTTTTCGACGTTAGAAAGGACCAAAATTCTATCGGTCCTTATTTAGTTCTACCGACATAAATCTGACGTCATCGCAATATTTTCATATTATACTAATATTATTTACACACATCCTAGATTATTGCGCAATAACCAATAGAGCTCTCTATCGTCTGGTTAAATAATATTTTCTCGGTATCAATTACTCGGCTCATTGCTCCGGGCTGCCGAACGAAAATGGTCCTTATTTAATATGAACACTCAAGAATAAAAATTATTTTTTTATTTTATGAAATGAACCAGACCTGTGTATGTTATTTACTTAAAGAAATTGTTAAATTATTTTATTTTTTTAAATTGAGCTAGTCTTGCATGGTTTCTGGCTAGCACAAAGCTACTAGCCTGAATTTGTATCCAGTTTGTCCAGACTATTGCCAGTTAGGTACAACTCGTCAGACTTATAATTAAAACATATGACCTTCTAACCTTCAAGAAAAGAACGTACCTATTGATTTTTAAAAACCTAGCGACACAACTTTTCCTCTTTTTTTGTTGCGGGTGTCCATGGGTCGCGATGATCGCTTACCATCAGGTTGCGTTTGCCTCCATATCATTAAAAATAACTATTCATTAAAATACGTAACTACTAGACAAAAAAGTTATTTTTGATGCCCTTTAGATAATAAATAGCACCAGAAACAAGTTGGTTATTTCTAAAAAGACTTAATTATTTATTATATTGATATTAAACTGTCAAATACCAAGCGGTCACCGGTGACCGCAACCTATTGTTCTATAATTGTGTCTGCAAAACCGGTACTCGACGAGTTAATGATAGATTTGAGATATCGATTTTAACCATGTTTTGTTTTGTTTCAGTGGTTCGGGACCATATCTCCGTGAACACTATTTGAGTAAATTTCAAGTAGTGTAACAAAAACACATTCACTTCTGGTAAGTAGATCTCTTTCTTGTAAGTATGGAAATTATCTAATGACTTCTCCCGCCTGGGTGAGGCGAGAGGGAGTGTCAGACTCTTACTGACTAAAACTAAAAACCACCCCTTACTTACTCTTGCTCCGAATTAGTCCGCGGTATATAGCTAGCCTCGCCCGTAATATATAAGACTTAAGCCTATTTATTCCAAACCTACTTATTATGTGATTAATTATTATTGCTCTTGTTTATTTTTTGTCCTTAATTAGAAAACATCTGTCCTATCCCATAGCGTGTCCTGTAATTAAATGTGATTACAGGATTCAATACCTTTCAGGACATAAATAACTATATTTGGTTTTGTACTTGTATAGATTGTTGATTACGTACTTTACATCATATTTTTTTTATGGCATAAGCCGGTAAACAAGTGAAACAAGTGAATTTATTTCTGCAAATAGGCTACAAGGGAGCACTTTTACACGTCAATTTTATCAAGCGAACGATGAGGTGGACAAGCAGACGTATCACCTGATGGTAAGCTTGCATCGCCCATGGACACCTGAAAGACCAGAGGAGTTACAAGTGCGCTACCAGCCTTTTGGGAATTAGGATTTTGAGGATTGTGCGGGTTCAGGGATTGAGAAGATTGTGGAGTGGGAGCAGGGTGGTAATTGACCCTCAACCACACCACGAAACACAACGCTAGCAGTGTTTCACATCGGTTTTTTGTGAGGTCGTAGTATCACTCCGGTCGAACCGGCTCATTCATCCCGAAGCATGGCTCTCCCACACTGATATATAAATATACACTGAACTGAAGAAATCCTGGCATATAAAGAACAGTCAAAATTATTTTGTGAACAACAATGGTTGATTATTTATACATGAGTTATGAACAAAGCCAATCAATTTAAAAATTTTGTTTGACAGTGACCACTGGTTGAATGGTGTCAGAATAATTTAATTACGTACACTATACCATAAACAAAATATTTAATCATTTAATTCTTTATTAATTGAATTAAAAATAAACTCGACCACGGTCCCATACAAAAGCTGCTTCACAAAGCTCGTGATTAACCTCATTTGACGGCTGAAACTGAAACACTCAACTGAACGACGAAACACTGAAATTATTCGAAACAATTATTAAAATAAACTCACCCCGCCCAGTGGTTACAACGAAACACGATTCGTGGAAAAAATCCGTTCAGGAAAACATGACAGGCTTTCCCTGCATAACCTTGCGAACGAGCGCACATTGAAAACGTTTGTACAAAAGGAGCGATTTAAGAAAAAACTCGTTTTTTTCTGCTACAAAAAAGGAAAATACGACAGCACGAGTGTTCGCACTTGTTTGTTCCCAAACGAGTCGACGAAAAAAATGTACGAAGCTACGTTTTTTCTCGCAGCCCCGTCTGCTAAAGCACACTGTTAACAGTTATTCGTTTCGTTTAGAATTCGACGAGTGCTGTGAAGGATGCTCCGCCAAAAAGTCTTATTAAAATACGTACGTATTTTGTCCAAATGAGTTTAGGTTTAGAGCACTGTGCGCGTTTGAGCGAAATGTTGTTTTTTGAGTTGACAACGAACTTTGAAGATATGTCTGGCGAAAACTTATTTTATTTTGTTAGTAAATTATGTAAAGTTTTATTTTGTACTCGGCTTTATTTGTCTAGATTCTTTTTGAAAGAAAATATGTATTACTTTCAGTGTAAATAAGTATAATAAATTGCTTGTAGATTTTAGTTCTAAATACAATATTTATTAACGTAATGATTTAAGTGATAACCATAGAACACGAAGTTTAGGTTTCAGTGCTTGGTTCAGAACAATCATCCAAAAATGGTATTCATGACCTCTTTCCACTATTCATGTTATGAGGCCCATGTAATAGGGGCTGAGCCTATTGCCATATACCGGGCACAATTCCAAACTTCGTGCAACTACTGAGATTTAAAGAAAAAAAAACCCAGTAATACTTTGCCTGACTTGAGAATCGAAACCGACACCCCTTGCCCAGCAATAACCTTTGCAGCCACTCGGTCACCGAAGCAGTCCATAAATAACCTACCGAATCATTAAATGATATCAATACGATAAACACAAACACATACTTATAATATTAATACCGATAAATATCACCAACAAAGTAATATCTACCTTTTCACCCACTAATAAGTTCTAAGATCCGTTACTTAATTAAAACAACATCTGGCTTCGGTGTGCTCTCAAACTAATTATCGAGGGTTTTCAGCTAAATAGAAAAGGTCCTTAGAAACAGAACTTTCTTTTATATTATTTTTCTTAAGGTGTTTCTTAATTATTGAAATTGTGAGAGGTATTGATGTCTGGGAGTGTCTAATTGGTCCTAAGGGACGGGCGAGATCGATTGCGGTGACTTGCGTATTAAAGGACCAAATTATCATTTTTGCTGAAGAAAATGGTGTTGTGAATAGTTTAAGAAGCTTGTAATATTGGTTATACACTTCAAACTACGTTTATTTTGTTTACTGTCTGCAGTATAGTAATACTGCCTAAAAAAAAATTATAAATAAAGATAGTTAATAGAATTAATCTTAATGTTTACCTTATATGAACAGAAGGCATAGAGATAGACTATGGTTTGGAAAAGGCTATTTTTTAATAATGTACAAGTTTATGAGTACCTACCTCCTCTGGTGGTAAGAGATGAAGTTGCCTACGATGGAGTACATCTGCCCATAAGCAACATCTTCACTCAAGCCTTAATGATACTGGTTATACCCTTTAGGAAAAAGACTCTGTCAAAGAATTTCTCATTAATTTTTTCAATTTTTTTATGCGATAAACCGATAAACGAGCAGACGGGTCACCTGATGGTAAGCAATCGGCGTCGCCCATGGACACCTAGAACACCAGAGGCGTTACAAGTGCGTTACCGGCCTTTTGGGATAAGAAATATGAGGATAGGTAATTAGGCCTTCGGTAACCTCACTCACATGACAAAACACAACGCTAACGATGTTTCACTTAGATCTTCTGTGAGGCCGTGGTATCACTCCGGTCGAGCCAGCCCATTCGTGCAGAAGCATGGCTCTCCCACACTTAATAATTATGTACACTTAATTTATCATAAATACCTACATAGGAAGGATATATTAGTATCTATTTTCATACCTGCTAAAATTACCACGATTACAACAATGTAAAACCACTGGGAGCACAGTGACACCATTCGACGCCACACACACGTCGCTCAATGTCATACACATTTCGATTCCCTGAAGTGCTTCAGATATCTTCTTATAAAAGCATCTATATTTCTTAATTCCCTACAGAATATAAGGGAGTATATGTGATCGCTATCTATGTACAGAATAAAATATAATGGCGTTATATTGATCGTACAAGAGTGTAACAAGTGATTTTCCCTCCATTTTGTGCGGAATGCGGCGGCCATCTTGTAATAGATCGGGCGTTTCTAAATTGTTGGTTTTTTTTTGTGGTATTGAAGTATTTTGATCTTATCAAATAATTATTAAGTACGTGTTTGTATCATTACTTAGTATTTTTAATTTTGTAGTGCTCTGCTTATAATTTGAAACGTATATGTTAGTTAGTATAATAATTTGCATTTGCAACAAAAATATTTAGAAGCTTTCTAATTAGGTACTATCCACGTAAAATACATTCTGTCATGTAATATAAAATTGAAAATGAACCATCAACATAATTACGTAAGACCATAGTAAAGCATAGATTACACGACTCAAAAACCCTGCCTTTGTAAGCCAGTGCCTGAGCACCTATTAATTTTGCTGACTTCGAAAACTGTGACAAATTGTGTTTTTCACCGCAAAAACAAAATGCCGACTCACGATTATTTAGGAGTTCGTGTAGAACCGTACTACGATGCCACAAAACTAAGGGCGGAATTCGAGAGAATTTCCTCTCAAGGGCACTCCCTTACCCTCCATATCTTCAACTCTTCCACGTCTAAAGGACCATTAGCATCTCGCAACAGCCCTTTACAAGCGCAAATATTATTTTTATTTTCATTTAATTGTGGGCCGTGCCCTTTTGCCTGGCAGAAGTTTTCGTAACGACTGAACTTGCAAACGTTCTCCTGACACTTAAGTTGATTTAAGTAATTTCGCAGTCGCCTTGTGAATTTCGAATGAGACGGACGTCGGTGAGGTGATAAAAAGTAGCTTCAAACCTTGTTATTTTGCATTGTTGGGGTGATAGTGGGGTTTTAGCGTTGGCGATGAGTTCTAGGAAGTTTTTATAATTGTTTTCTGTTTTAGACGATCAAAATGCTAATTGTAGATTGATAATGCACGGAGCGCTTCGCATCAAGCATCCTTGTGCGTACTGCTAAGGAGTGGAATTTTTTGCCAGAGTCTGTATTTCCTGAAGGGAGTCTTCAAAGCCCGAGTAAATAGGTTGCTTATAGGACGACGTGCTCCATCGTAGACTGCATCATCGCTAACCACCAGACGAGACAGTGGTCAAACGTCGACCCATCAAATATATAAAAAAATTAAAATATTTCTACTTGGCGTTTGTTTAGTAACTTGACTAAAACCACTGGACCGATAGATTTGTCTGGTGGGACTTTACAAGTGTAACTGAAGACCTTAAGGTTCTTTGATAAAGTTCAAAGTCGAGTAAAGATATTCAGTATCAGATATCAGAATAATTTATCATTACATGGAATCATTCTACCAGGAAAACAATACGTTACAAGATTTATGCTGAACAGAACAAGAATTTAGTACGAAGCCTACTTTCTAGGAATACACTAATTAAATTACATTACACAAACATAATAATCAAGGCTACCAACCCTTCTATTTCACTATCAATCTCACTACCCATTCTATTCCAATCCGAGAAATAACACCGACAACTACGCAATTATTTAATTCTTGAAACTTTGATCCCGAAGCAACGATCACTTGATCCAAGTTTCAGATTCAAACAAGAGATCTGTTATACAAGTATTGGTCCACAGGGTACATTGAACCGTC